ACCCCCACCGCCTGCAAACATCCGTGCTGAGCGGGGGATCGCCGGGATGGACCCGAACCGCCCCCCCCCCAGAGCCGTCCGGAGCGGAGGCAGAGGGGAAGGGCTCGGAGCGGCTCCTGGGGGGCCCGGAGCCCCCGGGTCGGGCGGAACGATGTCTCGGCGAGGCGGGACGGATAATGGCTCCTAATGACGGGGCTGGCTGGCTCCACAGCCGCGATCTTCACGGGACATTATTTTTAAGCGTTCAGCGAGGCTCATTTTTCACGCCTCGCTGCCTAAAGGAGGCTTTTATTTATTTATTGGGGGAGGCGTGGAGGACACCAGCAATAACCGAGCACTGAAAGGAAAATAATTAGCTGTTGCACTCGCTGCTCGGGGGTCCCTGGCCAAAAAAAGAGACCCGGCATTTCCCTCCCCTCTCCTTCGTAGGATGGAGGCGAATCATTCCACTTCTCGCTGCCGCTCTCCGGGCTGTTTTGCGGGACCCGCAGCGGCTCCACACTCACCGCAGGGCCCGATCCTTCGCTGCTGCTTTGGGATTTTCCCTTCTCTCCGCGTTGCTCGGCTCGGTGCGCGATCCCGAGCTGAGCTGGGGTGGGGGGAGATACGGCTCCCACCGCCATACATCCGTGCGCGGATTTGATATGCTTTTTTTTTTTGCTTGTTTCACACGTGCCCTCCTTTTTATATGCCAAACGAAGGGCTTGCAACGAGCCCGCGATGCTCCGTGCGTTCGTTCCGCTGTAGTTTTCCTTGCATGCGCGACGGAGCGGGCAGGGTGGATTCGGCGATGTGTATCATTTCGAGGCAGCGCAGCACGATCCGGCCCGGAGCAGCCCCGGGACACGCTCTCATTTCTCTCTTCCTTACCCAAACCCTCCGAGCAGAGCGAGACCGGCGGCGGCTGTGCCCCCCTCGGGCAAATCCCACTGCGGGCTGCGGGCCTTTCTGCAGCCCATAGCTTCCGCTTTGCGGAATTGGGAAAATTATTTCTTTCCATTTGTTCCTTTCCCCAGTAGATTTTTTTCTTTTTTTCTTTTTCTTTTTCTTTCTTTTTCTTTTTTTTTTTTTCTTCTTTTTTTTTTAGGTTTTCGCTTTCTATTTCTTCGCAGCCCCGAACGAAAATGTAGCTACCTGTCTTGCAGAAACTGCCGTAAAGCACCACGAGCATCTCAGCCACTGGCTCGCTGCTTTCCCCGCGGCCGTTTCCCTGGGACTGCGGAGAAATTCCCTTTTTCACGGTGCATTTAAGATTTAACGATAACGTAGAGTACCCCCCGAATCCCAGCGTCCGCTCTGAAATCACTTTTCTGCCTCCTAACTTCGCGAAATAACTGCCCACCGCCACCTCCTTACCCTCCCCATCTCCCTTTCGTTTCTATCCTTTCCCGGGTCAGAAAGTGTGGAAACGAGATTCTCAAAGATTGCGAGGATGGCGGGAGGAGCTCCCGCAACCGCCTTAGCCGCAGAAAAACTGCTCTGGAAATTAAGTTCATGGTTTTTAAATGATCCCGGAGATGCCTGGGGCTCCGCGCTCGCTCTTCTCTGTGTGCCCGGCTCGAGAGGAGCGGCCGGGGCCGGGATGCGGTGGGAGAACCCGGAATGAGCAGCCCGAGCAACCCGTGCTGCTTCGCTTCCCTTTTCTATTTCTCGTCTTCTCAATAGTTCTCCTTTTTTTTTTTTTTTGCCTTTCTTCCTTCCTTCCTTCCTTCCTTCCTTCCTTCCTTCCTTCCTTCCTTCCTTTCTTCCTTTCTCTCTCTCTCTCTATCTCTCCCCCCCTTTCCTCCTTTCCACCTTTCCTTCCTTCTCTTCTCTCTTTCTTTCTTTTTCTCACTTTCTCTCTTTCTTTTCTCTCTCCTTCTCCTTCTCTTTCCTTCTTTCTTCCTCTTTCTCTTCCGTTTTTTATCTCCTCTCCTCTCCTCTCCTCTCCTCTCCTCTCCTCTCCTCTCCTCTCCTCTCCTCTCCTCTCCCTTTTCCCCTTTCTTTCTCACTTTCCTTCTTTCCTTTTCTTTCTGTTCTTTCACTTTATTGCTTCATTTCTTTCTTCTTTCCTTCCTCTCTTAATTTACCCTTCCTCCTCTTTCTCCCTCTCCTTTTTTTTTTCATTCATCCTTCTTTTCCTTCTTTCTTTTTCTTTCTCTTTTCCTCTCTTCCCTCTTTATTTTTCCTTCCCCTTCTACCTCTCTCTTCCCTCCATTTCATCTCTTCAACGTGTTCCCATCATAGTCCCCCTCCGTCGGAGTCGCGGGG